CTTCTGCTCCTTCTCCTTCTTCGTCCATGGAACCTTCATGGTGGCAGGGCGTCTCAGCTCTGTAATCCACTCACTGAGCTTGTTGTTGGTGCTCCTTTTCTCCTAGAAAGAGATCCAGGGGGGGCTGCGCTGCCGTGGTTGAAGCAAGCCCAGGAGCGAGAGGAGATGAGGATAGTGACCGAGGACCCCACGTGAGTGCAGGCTTCGGGGGGAGGGCCGCGGGGGAGGGCCGCGGGGGAGGCCCTCAGGAGAGGCCCAAGGGAGGCCCTCAGGAGAGGCCCGCAGGGGAGGGCTGCGGGGGAGGCCCAAGGGAGGCCCTCAGGGGAGGCCCTCAGGAGAGGCCCGCAGGGGAGGCCCGCAGGGGAGGCCCGCAGGGGAGGGCTGCGGGGGAGGGCTGCGGGGGAGGCCCGCAGGGGAGGGCTGCGGGGGAGGGCTGCGGGGGAGGGCTGCGGGGGAGGCCCGCAGGGGAGGGCTGCGGGGGAGGCCCAAGGGAGGCCCTCAGGAGAGGCCTGCAGGGGAGGGCCGAGGGGGAGGATCCAGGGTATGGCCTGACCCACAGGGTGGCTAGCTACATCTGTGAGTGTTCAGTACTCTTTGGATACAGAGATTCATTTAGTGTCCAAATGATCTGGATCTGCAGACCCCAGAGAGCGTGAGCCTCCAAGAGCTCTGTCCCTTCCAAGCTCATCCTTCGGAGTCTTTCCTGAAGCTTCCCTTCCAAGCTCACCTCTGTCTTCTCAGAACACGCTTTCGTGGGTCACTGCCCAGTGCTGTGGCTGGCTCATGGCTCCAGGGCCCAGGCTCCCCCCTCGGGAAGTGCCGGCCTCTGCTCCGCTGAGATGACAGGGGTGCGTGTGCCGCCACTGCTGACAGGCGTCCCCCCACTTCTGACAGGCGTCCCCCACTTCTGACAGGCTTCCCCCCACTTCTGACAGGCGTCCCCCCACTTCTGACAGGCGTCCCCCCACTTCTGACAGGCGTCCCCCACTTCTGACAGGCATCCCCCCACTTCTGGACAGGCATCCCCCACTACTGACAGGCATCCCCCACTTCTGACAGGCGTCCCCCCGCTTCTGACAGGCGTCCCCCACTTCTGACAGGCGTCCCCCCGCTTCTGCACGTGCCATAACCTTCATTTGGGAGGCGTCTGGTGCCACCCCTCGCTCTGCGTGCGGCTAGCCGAGCGTTTTCAGTCCCCGCGTGTTGGTCAGTATGGCGGCTTCCTGCCCGCAGCTCACCCAGCTCTGCAGATGTAAAACGTCCCACGCACACAGCCCGTCCAGGTCAGCAGATGCTGAATCAGAAAACGAAATGGTTATTGAGCTGAGGAGTCGGCAAGTGTGGCCGGGGTGGGCATCAGCGGGCCGCCCGCGTCGTCCCTGCCCGCCCGGGTTCCAGCGCCCCTGGGGTGCGAGCCCCGGCCTCCTTGGCCTTCCAGGCAGCCCCCGGCCACCATCCCCCCTGGGGTGCAAGCCCCGGCCTCCTCTCGGCCTTCCAGGCAGCCCCCGGCCGCGCGGCTGGCCTGGCCTGTCCCTGCCCTCCGGTGTCAGTTTAGTTTCCTTCCACTTCTGGGTTGATCCGCACTCGCCACTTCCAGACAGATCACAGCCCATCTGTGCGTCCGTCCGTCCGTCCGTCCGTCCTTTTTGGTCCATGTGGTTTGGGGGTCTGGCTGTGGACAGTGCCGCTGTGCTTCCTCCGGGAGGCTGCAGGAGCACACTTCGGTCCCTGTGGCCTGTCGCCGCCCCAGCCCGGATCTACAGAGGGCAGACGTGCAGAAGGCTTCCTTTCAATCAGGAAAATGAGATCGCAGCCTCGAGGCCGAGCCAGGGGCTCTGCAGGGCTTTTTAGGGTTCTTTTTTACGGGGCATTGATGGTCCTGGGACTGAACACACGCGGGCCACGCTCCGTGGCTGCCACCTACTCCTGAAGGCAAGCCTGCAGCCCGGCTGTTTGCTAGTGATTTTAGAGATGGAATGGCCTCACTGAGGAAAGTTCTGGAAGTGATGTCACCACTCTTTAAGGTGATATAATCACTACTTTTTAAATCTGGAAGCGACAATCGCACGTTTCTGCCTCACCATAGAAAGTTCTAGAAGTGGTGTGATCACCGCCTTGCTACACTGCACCGTTCCTTCTGGCTTTCTGCGGTCTGTGTGTGAGCTGAGCTGTGACCGGGCTGCCGGGGCTCTCGGTGGCGCGTCCCTGGCCGTCTCGTGCAGACTGACCGCTCGAGGGGCGTCTCTGGCACGCACCTGTCGGATTTCCTTCTGGAGCGTGGGTGCGGGGTCAGCCCTTCTATCCCACACCTGCTGCTAAACATGCGACTCCCATCCTGTGGGTGTGATGTTCGCACTGAGCCGTGGCCCCTGGGGAAGTCTGTGTGAGTCGATGGTCCGACGCTCGAGCCGGGGCCACGGGGAGGCTCCCACGCTTGAACAGCGAGCAGACCACAGATTAGGAAAGCAGACCAGAGGAAGACAAAGACGGCTCCATCGGGGTGGTGCTCAGCTCAGAACACGCTCAGAGCCGAGGGCAGGGCAGCAGGGGAAGAGAGAGGCCCAGCCCAGAAAGCATGGCAGCCTGGGGGGCCCTGGCGTCGGCCGGCGGTGCGGAGGCAGGAGGCCGTGGGCAGGGCCTGGGCAGGGCCGGCAGTCCAAGGCCCTCACACGGCCAGCCTCCACAGCTGCCTTTGCACCCAGCGCGGCCTGCAGCCGGTCAGCTTCGCAGTCAGAACCTCAGAGAGCTCCGGCTGCTCCCGGCACCCTCCACTGGCTTCCTGGCCAAAGGGACCAGACTCACAACCAGGACCCTGAGCAGGAAGGCTTTTGGTCAGGCCTGGTGGGCGCAAAGGTTGTGTAACTCTTCAAGGGGAACTCTTTCCACTGGGTCTAAGCTCTGCAGGCTTGTTTGCCAAAGCCACGGCTTTCTGAACGTGTGGAGCCGGGTCCCCTCTGGGCTCAGCTCCCCCGGCCCCCTGCTCTCCCGCAGGTTCGTCCCGGGCCCCTGGTCAGCCTGCAGTGCTACGTGCGGCCCCGGCGTGCAGGTGCGCGAGGTGAAGTGCCGAGCGCTCCTCGCGTTCACGCGGGCTGAGACCGAGCTGCCAGCCGAGGAGTGCGAGGGGCCCCGGCTGCCCACGGAGCGGCCCTGCCTGCTACAGCCCTGCGGCCCGGACCCTGCGGCCCCGGAGCCCAGCGGTGCTCCGCAGGACGGCGAGACCACCTACGGCTGGGAATATGCCGGCTTCACCCCGTGCACGGCCACATGCCTGGGAGGTACCGCGTCCTCCCCAGGGTGGACGGGGGGCCTGGGGGACCCGCACCCTCCCCAGGGTGAATGGGGGGGCCTGCACCCTCCCCAGGGTGGACGGAGGCACCTGGGGGACCCGCACCCTCCCCCAGGGTGGACGGGGGGACCCGCACCCTCCCCCAGGGTAGACGGGGGGACCCGCACCCTCCCCCAGGGTAGACAGGGGACCCGCACCCTCCCCCAGGGTAGACGGGGGGACCCACACCCTCCCCCAGGGTGGACGGGGGACCCGCACCCTCCCCCAGGGTGGACGGGGGACCCGCACCCTCCCCCAGGGTGAACGGGGGGACCCGCACCCTCCCCCAGGGTGGACGGGGGACCCGCACCCTCCCCCAGGGTGAACGGGGGGACCCGCACCCTCCCCAGGGTGGACGGAGGCACCTGGGGGACCCGCACCCTCCCCCAGGGTGAACGGGGGACCCGCACCCTCCCCCAGGGTGAACGGGGGGACCCGCACCCTCCCCAGGGTGGACGGAGGCACCTGGGGGACCCGCACCCTCCCCGGGGTGGACGGGGGACCCACACCCTCCCCGGGGTGGACGGGGGACCCACACCCTCCCCCAGGGTGGACTGGGGACCCGCACCCTCCCCCAGGGTGGACGGGGGGACCCACACCCTCCCCAGGGTGGACCCACACCCTCCCCAGGGTGGACGGGGCATCTGGCTTCTGATCTAAGAAACCATCGCTTGGGTAAACCAAGTTTGAAAAGCAGCTAAGGGAGGTGCGTGCATTCATCGGCAGCCGCGCCTGTCTTTTGTAGCGTGGGAGATGTTTGTTGTGGGTAGTGGGATTCTGTTTAACAAAGTGAGTGGCCTTGGGCCAAGCATTCACTTAGCTGGTGTGATCTGGGATGGGCAGCCGCCGCAGGGCGGGTGAGTGGAGGCGCGTCTGGTGGAGTCTGTCCGGGTGCGGAGGCAGCCTGGGGTGCGGGGGCAGCCTGGGGCG